CGGGGGAGGGTGCGATGGGGATGCGGGGGGGGGGATGGGGAAGGTGGGTGTGCAACGGGGACACGGGGAGGTGATGGGGACATTGGGCATGCGGTGGGGACATGGGTGTGCAACAGGGACACGGGGGTGCAACAGGGACATGAGTGTGTGAAAGGGACTCAAGTTGTGATGGGGATACGGGGGTGCAACAGGGACATGGGGGTGCAATGGGGACACGAGTTGACAGGGACACGAGTGTGTGATGGGAACATGAGTGTGTGATGGGGACATGGGTGTGCAACAGGGACACGGGGGTGTGACAGGGACACGGGGCTATGATGGGGACATTGGACATGTGGTGGGGACACGGGTGTGCAACAGGGACACGGGGGTGCAATGGGGACATGAGTTGTGATGGGGACAGGGGCGTGCAAGAGGGACAGGGGTGTGCAATGGGGACACGAGTGTGTGATGGGGACACGAGTTGTGATGGGGACATGGGTGTGCAACAGGGACACAGGCACGGGGCGGGGACGCAGGTGGGTGATGGGGACACGGGCGTGCAACAGGGACACGAGTGTGTGATGGGGACCTGAGTGCACGATGGGGACACGAGTGTGCGATGGGGACATGGATGTGCACCAGGGAGACGGGTGTGCGATGGGGACACGGGGACACGGACACACAGCAAAGACACGGACTTGTGATGGGGACACAGGCGTGTGGTGGGGGACATGGGTGTGCAACGGGGACAGACGTGCAAGAGGGACACGGGGGGGTGATGGGGACGTGGACACACGATGGGGTTGGGGCCAGGCGTGCGGAGGGGACACGGAGGCACAGCGGGGACACGGGGGAACTGGGTGCTGGGATAAACTGGGTTGGCCATAAACTGGGTGCTGGGATAAAGTGAGTTTGCAATGAGTTGGGTGCTGGAATAAACTGGGTTTGTGATGAATTGGGTGCTGGGATAAACTGGATTTGCAAAAAAAACCCAAGCAACTGGAAAACTACTGGAAATACTTTTCCAGTGCTGGAAAAAGCTGGGTGCTGGGATAAATTGGGTTTGTGATGAATTGGGTGCTGGGATGAACTGGGTTTGCAAAAAAAAGCCAAACAACTGGGTGCTGGAATAAACTGGGTGCTGGAATAAACTGGGTGCTGGAATAAACTGGGTGCTGGAATAAACTGGGTGCTGGAATAAACTGGGTGCTGGAATAAACTGGGTGCTGGAATAAACTGGGTGCTGGGATAAACTGGGTTGGCCATAAACTGGGTGCTGGGATAAAGTGAGTTTGCAATGAGTTGGGTGCTGGGATAAACTGGGTTTGTGATGAATTGGGTGCTGGGATAAACTGGATTTGCAAAAAAAACCCAAGCAACTGGAAAAATGCTGGAAATACATTTCCAGTGCTGGAAAAAACTGGGTGCTGGGATAAATTGGGTTTGTGATGAATTGGGTGCTGGGATAAACTGGGTTTGCAAAAAAAACCCCCAAACAACTGGAAAAATGCTGGAAATACTTTTCCAGTGCTGGAAAAAACTGGGTGCTGGGATAAATTGGGTTTGCCATAAACTGGGTGCTGGGATAAGTCGGGTTTGGGATGAATTGGGTGCTGGGATGAACTGGGTTTGCAAAAAAAACCAAACAACTCGGTGCTGGGATAAACTCGGTGCTGGGATAAACTGGGTTTGCAATAAATTGGGTGCTGGGATAAAGCGGGTGCTGGGACAAAGTGGGGTTTGCGATGAGTTGGGTGCTGGGATAAACTGGGTTTGCAATAAATTGGGTGCTGGGATAAAGCGGGTGCTGGGACAAAGTGGGGTTTGCGATGAGTTGGGTGCTGGGATAAACTGGGTTGGCCATAAACTGGGTGCTGGGATACGCTGGGTTTGGAATGAACTGGGTGCTGCAATAAAGTGGGGTTTGTGATGAACTGGGTGCTGGGATAAACTGGGTTTGCAAAAAAAAACCCCAAACAACTGGGTGCTGGAAAAAACTGGGTGCTGGGATAAACTGGGTTTGCCATAAATTGGGTGCTGGGATAAAGTGGGGCTTGTGATGAGTTGGGTGCTGGGATAAATCAGGTTTATGATGAATTGGGTGCTGGGATAAACTGGGTTTGCAAAAAAAACCCCAAACAACTGGAAAAATGCTGGAAGTACTTTTCCAGTGCTGGAAAAACTGGGTGCTGGGATAAACTGGGTTTGCCATAAATTGGGTGCTGGGATAAAGTGGGGCTTGTGATGAGTTGGGTGCTGGGATAAATCAGGTTTATGATGAATTGGGTGCTGGGATAAACTGGGTTTGCAAAAAAACCCCAAACAACTGGAAAAATGCTGGAAGTACTTTTCCAGTGCTGGAAAAACTGGGTGCTGGGATAAACTGGGTTGGCCATAAACTGGGTGCTAGGATAAATCGGGTTTGTGATGAATTGGGTGCTGGGATAAACTGGGTTTGCAAAAAAACCCCAAACAACTGGGTGCTGGAATAAACTGGGTGCTGGGATAAGTTGGGTTTGCAATGAACTGGGTGCTGGGATAAACTGGGTTTGCAAAAAAACCCCAAACAACTGGGTGCTGGAATAAACTGGGTGCTGGGATAAAGTGGGGCTTGGGATGAGTTTGGTGCTGGGATAAATCATGTTTGTGATGCACTGGGTGCTGGGATAAACTGGGTGCTGGGATAAACTGGGTTGGCCATAAACTGGGTGCTGGGATAAAGTGAGTTTGCAATGAGTTGGGTGCTGGAATAAACTGGGTTTGTGATGAATTGGGTGCTGGGATAAACTGGATTTGCAAAAAAAACCCAAGCAACTGGAAAACTACTGGAAATACTTTTCCAGTGCTGGAAAAAGCTGGGTGCTGGGATAAATTGGGTTTGTGATGAATTGGGTGCTGGGATGAACTGGGTTTGCAAAAAAAAGCCAAACAACTGGGTGCTGGAATAAACTGGGTGCTGGAATAAACTGGGTGCTGGGATAAACTGGGTGCTGGGATAAAGTGGGTGTTGCAATAAAGTGGGTGCTGGGATAAAGTGGGGTTTGCGATGAACTGGGTGCTGGGATAAATTGGTTTTGCAAAAAAACCCCAAACAACTGGGTGCTGGAAAAAACTGGGTGCTGGGCTAAACTGGGTGCTGCAGCAGTTGTAGATAAAGTGGATGCTGTGATAAAGTGGGGTTTGCAATCCGGCGGGTGCCGCAATAAATTGGGTGCTGCAATCAAGTGGGTGCTGGGTTAAACTGGGTTTGCAATCGGGTGGGTGCCCTGTGATGAACTGGGGGTTCGCAATAAACTGGGCGCTGGGATGAACTGGGTTTGCAGTGAGCTGGGTGCTGGGATAACTGGGGTGCTGCAACGTTTTGCAATGAGTTGGGTGCTGCAACAGACTGGGGTTTGCAATGAGCTGGGTGCTGGGGTGAATGTGGTTTGTGGTGAAGCGGGTACTGGGTTAAACTGGGTTCACAGTCAAGTGGGTGCCCGTGATGAACTGGGGTTTGCAATGAACTGGGTGCTGGGATGAACTGGGTTTGTGATAAAGCAGGTGCTGCAAGAAATCAGGTTTGCAATAAACTGGGTGCTGCAGTAAATAGGGATTGTGGTAACTGGGTACTGGGATAGACTGGGTTGCAATCAAATGGGTGCCATGATAAATTGCAGTCAAGCAGGTACTGGGATAAACTGGGTCTGGAATAAATCAGTTGCTGGGATAAACTAGGTTTGCAATCAAGTGGATACTGGGATAAACTGGGTTTGGAATAAATCAGCTTCTGGGATAAGTTGGGTTTGCAATCAAGTGGGTACTGGGATAAACTGGGTTTGCAGTAAACTGGATGATGGGGTAAACTGGGTTTGGGATAAACTGGGTTTGGAATAAACTGGTGGCTGGGATAAACTGGGTTTGCAATCAAACGGGTACTGGGATAAAGCGATGAAGCCCCAGCGTGGAGTTGATGATGAAGAAGACCCAGGGTGAGGAGGAGGAGGAGGATGAAGCCCCAGGGTGAGAGGGACTGGGTTGCAGTCAAATGGGTGCCATGATAAATTGCAATCAAGCAGGTACTGGGATAAACTGGGTCTGGAATAAATCAGTTGCTGGGATAAACTGGGTTTGCAATCAAGTGGATACTGGGATAAACTGGGTTTGGAATAAATCAGTTGCTGGGATAAACTGGGTTTGCAATCAAATGGGTGCCATGATAAACTGGGTTTGCAATCAAGCTGGTACTGGGATAAACTGGGTTTGGGATAAACTGGGTTTTGAATAAACTGGTGGCTGGGATAAACTGGGTTTGCAATCAAACGGGTACTGGGATAAACTGGGTTTGCAGTATACTGGATGCTGGGATAAACTGGGTTTGGGATGAACTGGGTTTTGAATAAACTGGTGGCTGGGATAAACTGGGTTTAGAATTAATCAGTTACTAGGATAAACTGGGTTTAGAATTAATCAGTTGCTGGGATAAACTGGGTTTGCAATCAAGCGGGTACTGGGTTAAACTGGGTTTGGAATAAAGTGGTGGCTGGGATAAACTGGGTTTGCCATCAAGTGGGTACTGGGATAAACTGGGTTTGGGATAAACTGGTGGTTGGGATAAACTGGGTTTGCAATCAAATGGGTTATCAGTTTCTGGGATAAACTGGTGGCTGGGATAAACTGGGTTTGTGCTGAAGCCCCAGCATGGAGTTGATGATGAAGACCCAGGTTGAGGAGGAGGAGGAGGATGATGAGGCCCCAGGATGAGAGGAGGATGATGATGATGGGTTTGCAACCAAGCTGGTAATGGGATAAACTGGGTTTGGAATGAACTGGTGAAGGATGAAGTCCCAGGGTGAGAGGAGGAGGAGGAGGATGATGAAGCCCCAGGGTGAGCAGGAGGATGATGATGGTGAAGTCCCAGGGTGAGGAGGAGGAGGAGGAGGATGAAGCCCCAGGGTGAGGAGGAAGAGGAGGATGATGAAGCCCCAGGGTGAGAGGAGGATGATGACAATGAAGCCCCAGGGTGAGAGGAGGATGATGATGATGAAGCCCCAGGGTGGGGATGATGATGATGGTGACGACCCAGGGTGAGGAGCAGGATGATGACAACCCAGAATGAGGGTGATGATGATGATGAAGCCCCAGGAAGGGAACAATGATGATGAAGCCCCAGGGTGGAGATGACAGTGACCGTGGTGGTGATGGTTGGTGATGATGGTGACAACGATGGTGGCAGCTGGTGGTGGTGGCGGTTGGTGATGATGATGGTAGTGGTGATGATGATGGTAGGGTGGTTGGGATAAACTGGGTTTGCAATCAAATGGGTGCCATGATAAACTGGGTTTGCAATCAAGTGGGTACTGGGATAAACTGGGTTTGGAATAAATCAGCTACTGGCATAAAATGGGTTTGCAACCAAGCTGGTAATGGGATAAACTGGGTTTGGAATGAACTGGTGGCTGGGATAAACTGGGTTTGGAATAAATCAGTTTCTGGGATAAACTGTGTTTGCAATAAGTGGGGTGCCGGGTGAAACTGGGTTTCAGTGAAGGGGGTGTTGGGTTACACTGGGTTTGCCCTCAGTGGGGTGCCGTGCTGAGGGGGTGCCCCCCGCGCATGGTGGGTGCTGATGGGTGCCCCGGCAGGGATGGGGGTCTCCACCGTCACGGCCGCCCGCATCCTGAAGGGGCAGCTGCAGAACGGGCAGGGGGAGGAGAGCCTGCTGGAGATGGACAAGTTCCCCTACGTCGCCTTGGCCAAGGTGAGACACCCCCCCCGGGGCCAAGGGGGGGATGATGGAGTGGGGGGGGACACGGGGGACACAACACCCACCACAAGGTCACGGGCGGGCGCCCGGCATCGACCGGGACCCGAAATTAGGTCATGGGCAGTGAAGGGAGCTGGCTGCGGTGCCCGCTGCCCCTGCCAGGGTCCTGCCCGTGGGAACGGGGAGGGGAGGGG